TTAGTTTTTGTCATGTCACTTTATTCAATTATTTGTGATGATCTGCAGGTGTCCCTATACTTTTGTCCAGGTAGTGTTAATTATTATTTCTCCAATTCTTTGTATTCATAATTATCAAACAATAAATTAACTACTATTCTTATTATTATTATTTTGAAATTTTGACTGTAATTTTAAAATTCTAAATAAATTAATAACCTTATAAATAACTATAAATCAATCCCTTATAATTAAAAGCAAAATTTTCCTAACACAACCTTCCAAGTGGTTATAAGCAACTTTGTAGGGAACACTTTGGCACAACTGTTGCTGCTGAATTTGCTTTAGTCTGCATACTAGTTGAGCAATAATCTTAAAATAAGTGTGAAGAAAAGAAACATTTCCGACCTGGCATAGAATAACCAATATTTAAGCTAGACTTTTCTTTTAACTGTTATCAAAAGTCCCAGTCTGGCTCTAAAATTTTTATTATGGTTGAAAATCGTTTGCTATATGAAAAATGGAGAATTTTTTTTTTGAAGTGGACAACAATAAATTTTTTTGTATAACGTTTATATTGAATGACACTTGATCTGCAATGTCCTGCAACTAGTATATAAATAATTCATTACATAAGTTTTTTTTAATGTTACAGTAAAATAATAATAAGTGGAAAATGTAATGTGATTTCTTCTTTTAAAAAATTCATGACTTTCTTTTTAAATTCTACAAACAAGTATTTGCTTTGGTCAGTTATGTTAATACCATCTTCAAATTGAACCTTGTAATACACTATGATTCTTATTTTTATGGAAAGAATATTGTAATTATATATTATTTGTAAATTCACATTGCAGTACATTTATGTCAGCTTGTTTAACAATCAACTTAACCAAGAAGATGGCAGCAATTTTTTTTAAAAAAAAGTTATAAGAATTTGGGAAGTATTTTAAAATTGAGTAAGATAATGGATATACAGTGCGGATCATCTATACTCAAAAGTTAAAATTTTTGAAATATTATGTGATCCACACATTGGATTTTAAAAAACCCACCACCATTCAATTCAGCTTTAAAAGTGGAGTCTATTAATCCAAAAAAAATTTTTTGTCTTGAATTTTCTTTTAATAGATTTTTTTAAATTTGAAAGTTATGCTCAGAAGTGCAACAATAATTTTCGTGTTACAATATTTTGAATCTCACCAGGTAAAGTGAAAATTGGTATTATCAAGAATTTCAGGGATCAAAATTTAGTCATTTCATAATGTGATTATAATTATTAACAATTTTATAA